CAACGGCCGACGCTGAAAGTCGTAAAGTCTGCACGAGCCTTTAGTTAGCCTAGCTATGAGAATAAATAAACGGAGTGCTCTCTCCTCTTTTTTCTCTCTCACACACACACAGACAGACACACCCGTGCTGCCGCTATCTCTCCCACATCAGATCCTCCCTCACTTAGCAGAACTTCTTGAGCATTTATCGTTATTTTGTATGAGCGTGAGCTACTCTCTCCCAAGCCCAGCAGAGAAGACTCAAACTGTGATGTTATCAGGTGTAAAATCTGGAGCCGCTTGTTAATAGACATGAATGTGAAACTAATTTTGTAGAAAAGAAAAACCCCACAACACTTATTCATAGTGTCTAAAATCTTTCTTAATTTATTGTTTTTGGAAAAGCTTCAAACCTTATATCAGATGATATCACAATTCATTTATGGTTTGTTCTTTGATTATTTTGTTTCAAAATTTAATCGGATAAACAGAAACAAAAAAAACAGACAACGTTTTTGTTGTTTTAAAACCAAACGGAAAAATATTTATTTTGATAATTATTGTGTCCGATTAGTGTAGCTTTTTGTGTTACACTTAATAAACCTGCAGCAGATACACATAGGCAGTGGCGGTGCCTGATTAATGTAGGATAATTAAGATGAGATTGAACATCAACACATTCAGTTTGTAACTCACTAGAAACTGGGACAGAAACGCCTCAGAAGTTGCCCGAGAATGCTCTGGTTTGAAGATTTCAGTATCAAATTAATTCAGTGATTCAGTAGTTGTCAGTACATCCAATGGTACTGACAACTATGAACTGTTATTAGTCAGGGCTCCAGACTAGCTTTATACACGTCCGTCTCTTATATGTCCAGAAAAAATTGTATTATGAGATTAACATCATTATTTAATAGGAATTCATAATATTTAAGTCCACCTGACCAATAGGTACCCTGCTGTGCTTCCCTTCAGACTGTAGCCTTCTGAATGAGACAAGTGCACTGCACTTTATCGGAGGTAGCCTAAAAAAACGAAACTAACACTGCCAATCAGGCAGACATCTCAGCAAAATCCTCATGTTAACTTCTGCAGCTCCCAAACAGAGCCAGATTGTGCTTCAGGTGTTTATAATGCAAAACTCTACCAGCGAGTCTCCTGGCTGCTTCTCAGAGCGCACGCGGGTTATTTTACGATCACACCGTATGCCGAGTTGCATCAACTGGGTGGAGTTGATTATCGCCGCTAGTCGACGTTATCAGAATATAGATTTTTTTTTTCACTGCGTGAGAAGATTCATTCATTCATTCATTCATTCAACTAACCTACACAGCGCGATTGAGAGTCAGCAAGCCTGAGAGAATAATGGATCTGTACCGCGGGAACAGGTGAGCAGCCAGCCTCCTGTGTGAGTCCGGCGTGACTGTAGTAACAACGTGAGAAGACGACCTCTGTTGTCATCAGCGCTCGGTCAGTTCAGTTTGTCATTTGCTAAGTGATTTTAATAAATAAACACATAAGCCTCTACAATCCCTTTCGTCCTAGAGGCGTCCTACAGAATATTCTTCTTCGTCCCAAACATATTTTCTATTGTCCCCAGGCCAACAGGGTTAGTCTCGAGCCCTGGTTATTAGTTAATTTGGCGAACTGCATATTAACAAATCATACATGGATTAAAATGTTTGGGTAATTGTTGTTCAGCCTTTATACACTGTTTCGACCTGACCTTTATTTTCTTCGCAAGATGGAAGAATTTAGAAAGTTGCGCGACGCTGCAGAGAGCCGCCAGCTGCAGTAACACATGGACTAGGCTATGCGTAAAATCAGGAGCATCCAGCCAGAGGGAATGACCACTGACAATGGAACGTGTGCACATAAACTGGAATGTTGCTTGTAATTACTGTCAAAAAATGAGAAAAGTTTGTAAATGTATTGGAGTTCCTTGTTATTACTGTCAAATTATGTTCATATAAGGTAAGTCCCATGCACTTACAAGAAAGGTCTGTATATATCGGAGTTGCTTATTATTACTGTCAAACAGTGTTTATATAAAGTAAACCCCATGCAGTAATGTAAAAGGTCTGTATATGTATTGGACAGTTGCTTGTAATTGCTATCAAATATTGTTTACATAAAATAAATGTGTATTTTTACATATATTGGAGAATTGCTTGTAATTACTGTCTATTAATGTCTATATAAAGTGAAACTATACATTAATGAGTAAATGTCATGTTGATATATTGAAAAGTTGATTTTAATTAATTGTAATTACTGTCAAGTATTGGTTATATAAGGTAACCCCCCATATATTAATGGTAAACGTATGTAGATATATTGGGAAGTTGGTTGTAATTACTGTAATAAAAATGTTTCTATAAGGTAAAGGCCCATACATTAAAGGTACAAATATTTAGAAATATTGGAGAGTTGCTTGTAATTATTGTCAAATAATGTTTATATAAAGTAACCCCCGTATTTAAATGGTAAAAATATGTAGAAATATTGGAGAGTTGCTTGTAATTACTGTCTAATAATGTTTCTATAAAGTAAACCCACATACATTAATGGTAAAAGCTTGTAAATTTATTGGAGATGTCTGTAATTACTGTCAAATAATGTATATAAAGCAATAACTGTTAAAATTATGTTTCTGTAACTTAATATTACATGATCTTGGTTTTTTGTACAGGATAAAACCAATATTTAACAGGAATTTACTGTAAATGGATTGAATAATGGCATAAAATAAAAGTTTAAATCTATTAATATACTGGTATTAGGCTTTAAATTAGGGTATCTGAAGGTAAATTTACAACATTTTCTGTTTGCTTTACATAGAAAAGTCTTTACTTTGACAAGAAGTTCTTGTAGATAGATTGGATTATCTTAAAAATATACCAAGTAATACTGTATTAAAACAGCAGTCTTCTTTTTAATTATGTCATTTTAAGGTATTTCTGCAATATTTTTAGGTTTTTATACAGATTTATACATTCGTTTAACATTCAACAAATTTTCTTTTAACAGCAGTTTGACTAAAAATACAGAAATATTTACGGTACTTTTGCTGCCAGACTTTTTACCGTAATTTTACGATTTTATTTTTTACAGTGCAGACATTTATCGAATCATAATGTTGTGTTAATTCTTCTTTTCTTCATCAGCCATACTGTTGGTGTTCTTGCTGGATCCTGTGGCTGTTTTCACAAAATTCCAGTTGGACATGTATTCTTCACAGTTAGGGTGAGCGCAAAGCAGGAGAGAGCCCAAATGCAAGACACTGAGAGCACAGTGTGAGATGAGTTCCAGGGTTTTAATCCATAACATGGAAAAAGCAAAACAAGGCTTACAGAGTGCAAGGACTGGCAACATCCAAAATCCAAAAAAGCAGGCGGGAGCAACACAGGTGAGTGGGATCAGGACTAACGAGACAGGCAGGAACAGAGACAGCAGGGGAAAACAGAGACAGGTATGCAGAGGAATACTGGGGGAACAGACATAACAGCTTACTAAACACTAAACTATATAAGATGTAACATTCAATTCAGACACAAGCAAAAAAAACTACAACCGACTGGGAAAACAGACTGAAGCTAGGATTAAACAGAACCAAGACCTGACAAAACCAAAATAATGCAAACACAGAAGTAGGAGTAAGTACAAAGACAATAACTAAGGCACAGAACTAAAATGCAGGGGTAAACCTAAACAAGACAGGTACAAAGTGAGCTAAACAGAACCTGCAAATGAACAATGGAAACAACAAGGCTAAACAGAGTACACAAGACAAGGAACAAAACCTCAAAACAGAAAACATGGACAAACTGTTACACAGAACGGGGTAGGGAACAGAAACGTGACCCACCAGGAAACAGGACAACAGTAAACATGGACCAGAAATAGGAAAAATACCAGAACACCACTTAACACCAACTGACAGATCATAACCAGATAAACAACATCAGGTAGAGGAAGCACACTGAGGTAGCAAGCAAACTATAAACTAAATCTAAACTAACAGAACGGCAACCGCGAATGTTGCCTATCCCAGCTGGCATCGGGCGAAAGGCGGGGTACAACCTGGACAGGTCGCCAGTCCATCGCAGGGCCACACATAGACGAACAGCCACTCACGCTCACACCTAAGGACAATTTAGGGTCACCAATTAACCTTGTCTGCATGTCTTTGGATGGTGGGAGGAAGCCGGAGCACCTAGAGAGAACCCACGCAGACAGGGTTTTGAACCCACGACCTTCTTGCTGTGAGGTGACAGTGCCAACCACTGTACCACCGTGCCGCCCCGGGGCAAACTAATAACCAGACTAAATAACATAACCTCAGAATCAAATACCAAAACCCAGAAACAGAGAAACAAGAATCAAAATACAGCACAGAGAACTCAGGACAGGATCGTGACAGTATTTTAAGAAAGTATTCATAAAAAAAACCCTTACCTAAAAAGGACATGTTCTATTTTAAGGCACAATGTAATTTCAAGACATTGCCTATAGAATAAAAAGGAATTTCAATGGAAATTGGCCCCATGTTAAGTGAATTACATATTGCAAATTCATTCTAATTCTGTCCTGTGGCCTGGGAATGTGGGAGAAAACTGTAATCCCCCCCACCAACTACTGTATCTCTGAACTATCTCATTTACCAAATCACACCAAGTGAGGCTAAATTCCCCTTTTGATATTTAATGTAATAACTTGTAATATATTTATCACTAAACCTCCCATGAAACAGTTTGGAGCCCTCCTGGGGAGGCTGGCCTCCCACTCTGCTCTAATGAAAGTCCCTCTGAACATGCCCCTGGACTGTGCAGTCACATGACTCTCAGGAAGTAGCTTTCATTTTTGGAGGGAAATCATCTACAAGAAGCAAAGTAAGCACCGATTGCAAGTAATGACCCAAACACAGCACTTATATTTATATTTAAATTCGTATTTATATATTCATGAATGGAGGAAGCAGGCTAATTAAGGGAAATCTCTTGTCCATGACACGAAAGAGTCCCCTTCCACGAATTATACACTATGCTAACTCTGTGTGGCTGTGCTCGCCTTTTTTACTTCATTCTCTTTCTATTCTCGTTTAAGTGTTAAATGTCCAGCAATTTAGCCCTGGGAAGACCATCTCAGCTGTTCAGGACTTAAGCAGCAACTAATTAATTAACGATATAATTTTAATCAGTACCTTAACGTCTTCACTATGGTAACCAATACGCAACAACAACATGGCCCGTAACGGAAGTTAACTGTTAGCTTAACGTTAAGCTCTACTAGCTTTGGTAGTAAGCTAGCAAGCTTCACTGTCCGTTAGCTGCGTTTTTAGTAGTTAGAGAAGGTACCGGACTAAACCATGCAGCATCTGGTACGTAACATTACTTTATTTAAGCTTATTGTAGCAAAGTTGACACCAGTAAAAGAAGTTAATCGTTAGCTTAAAAACGCCAAAGTAATTAGGCATGACTAAATTTAGTGGTAACTTGCAAGATTCAACCTACATTTGCGGCCTTTTTAAATATCTTATTCTCGTTTTACACATGCTAACTGTTAGAGAAGATACTGGACTCAACCATGCAGCCTGGTAAGTAACATTATATGTAGGCTATATATTTGTATATCACTTATATGTAATAAGCTCTGTGTTCACAATTTTGGTAGCCTACAGTTGTATGCTTCAGTTTTCCATAAAGTAAAGCCAGAACATGGTGAACCCACAAGAACAAATAGCTCTTAGTTAACATAGTGAAGGAGATGACAGAAAATCACAAGGAAAAGTACACACATGATATTAATTTAGTAATAAAAAGAATGAAAACCCCAATCCTATTATACGATGTGTTGGTGCTACCAAAAACTCATAGGGACATCCTATTATTTAGTAGCTATGTTTTCAAGCTCAAAATGATCAGATAATCTTAATAAGCATAGCTACTGTTGCACTGAACACACTGTTAAATGTTTGTCTGCTTTGAAACCTACTATAATGATATGAGTTAATGGTGTAACGGGGTAGACCTGTATCAGCCAATTTTGAGTGCAGTGGTAGTGTGAGGGGTGAGCACTTAGAGTGGGTGTGTATTTGGTGGGTGTGGTTTTGCACTTGGGTTAATTGCATGGGTATGGACTAATGGCAGACAGGTGTGCTTGGGCATGACATCCATCTGCAAACTATTTAACCAGCCACACACTAGCTCAAGAGTCTTCTGTTTGTCTCCTGTGTGCAGTGTGCGGAGGCTGCTGATTCTTTGCAAGAGTGTGGTACACGGCTGGGTCGTGGTCTGGGGAGCTGCCAGTGTAGAGCCACCGCTACTTAGTAGAGTTACCAGAGGCCCAAGCAGTGAGGCTACAACCGACCAGCCTGTGACCACGCAGGAAGACGAAGTTGAGCACACCCAGCTACGACGAACTGCAGTTCCGTTTAACTAACAGTTTCCCCCATTTGAACTCTCTTTTTAACTATCTTAGCCTCAGTCTTGTTTTAACCCTTTGCATGTCTATTTTATACAAATAAATTTGGAGGCTATATTTTGTACAGCGTGTTCTATTGTTGCCCGCTTATTTTATACACTGTTTGGTCAATTGGGAACTAGTTTGGGGGTGTTACAATAACAATTGCCAATGTTTTTTCATGTTTATTTTCTTCATCTGCAGAGGGAATGGGAACAACTTTTGTGAGTGACTTTGGAAGGGCAGTGTATAAAAGATTGTGAGGTGTGTTAAAACTCTATGCTAATATTGTACATATTTGATTAACAGCATAATTAGAGCTGCCCGAATGTCATGTTTTGAGCTTCGACGCTTCAATAGTAATTAAGAGCGAATAATCAAAGCTTCGCCCCCCTGCTGAGTGAGGGGAGATCGGAGAGATAAGTCTGTGTGCCTGTGTGTGAGAGAGAGGGTGAAAGACAGAGAGCGCTCCGTTTATTTATTCTCATAGCTAGGCTAACTGAGTGACCAAATCTTTGTTTTTAACTTTATTATGGCAAGGCTAGCAGACCCAAGTGCAGGACTAAGAAAGGGAGAAATATATATTGCTGGTTAAAAGGATCAGATATTGAGCAGCGGAAGAGCGAGGCAGAGGGAAAATATATGCCTGCCAAACCGGGTTGGTGGCTGCTGTACCGAGCAGGGGGAACCGTAGCTGAAAGTCCAGAGTGAGAGAGTCTGATCCGAGCAGGTCCAGAGCAGAATCCGGGAATAGTTTCGCCGGAGAGCGCACGGGATGAGCGGTGTCTCCGGTAGCGGAACTAAAACTAACACGTTATTATGCAAGATTCACTTTTAATTTTAATTATACCGACAAAATGCTCTTCTTCTACAATCGGCCTAATATTATTAGGCTTATTTAAATGCGTTCGTTATGTTGTTGTTTGTTTGTTTCCAGCCTACAGTTTACTGATTAATTTTAAAATGTAGGAAATTTGACTGTTTTGATCTGTAATGAAATTAAGCAATTGTAAAATTAATATATGTTAATTTAAGTTTTGAAATACAATAACAATACAGTATGCTGTGTGTTCTCTAGGTTGTTCAAAAGAGAAAACTTGCTTGTGGATAATACTGGACACACATGAAGAACATTTCTCTGCTCATCTTTCAAAACACTGTACCTGTGAGTAAGTTATGTTGAATTCTCTTTTATGCGACAACAAAGAGGAAATGAACATTAAACACACTTATGAGAACAAAACTGTAGATGCTGACAAATTTAAATTCATTTCATATTTTATGACATGCACTGACTGTGCTAATATCCATCTACCCTGAATGCATAATGTTTCTGCATCATTATGTCATCCTAACTTGATGTCAGTTGTTGATGATGATTTTATAACAAGGCTATGGCCTAGTCCACACAGACACGGGTATTTGTATAACCGGAGTTTTCCTCCTGCGTTTCAAAAAAAAATCTCTGTCCACATGAAAACGCAAACACACGCTATCAAACGCTGTCAAGAGCATACCGAAACACCGGGCGGCGATATGACCCTAACCGTAAAGCCACGTTGGCCAATCAGAGCCTAATAAAATTTTAAACAAAGCAGGCAGTGGCTCACAATCTGACATCAAACACAGCGGATAACGGCGCACTCTCTGACTTCGCAAAGCAAACCCCCGGTTTTACTGTCAGGACAACACTGCAACCAGCGTTTCTGAAAATCCTCACCCTGGCAGGGGTTTTCAAAAATGTTCGGTTTCAGTGACCTGCGTTTCTGTGTGTACGAACGGCCGAACCGTGTAAAAAAATCGTCATGGTTATGAGTACCCGTGTAGATAGGGCCTTAATTGCTCAAATGACATTTACCATTAAGAAGAGAAAAAGAAAGAGTGGAGAAATATTATCAAACACAGAGATGGAGTTAGAATGCAAAGGTAAATCGGCCAGATAGTCAAAAACAAAAACAGAAACCAGCAGTAGTCCCCACTGTTCAGAGTTGTTGATCAAAACCAGATAAATTCAGCGGCTAACAACAGTTTGTGTATTTGACAAACAGGAAATTTACGAACAACAGTGTAAAATAACACTAATATCTGCGTGATTTAGTGTATCTAATGTCCAATGTAACAGTACATGGGGAAAAAGCACAGCATTGAAAGGTCGTTGTTGCCCACTCTCCATTTTATGTGATTATCTACAATATTTTTACATTTAGAGGTCTTGGTGATTCAGCAACGTTTTTCACATACACACTAGTGCCCCCGAGCCATGGGACTTGGCATTGGTTGGGGAAGACTACACATCTGATGCTTCCATTTTTAATTGTAATACTAATGTTGTTGAGGACTAAGTGGAAAGACCAAGCAGAAATGTTTGTCAGTGTGTCTCTGGTGCCAATGCAGTTCAGGCCTGTGTCTTACTGCTTTAATTGTCATTGCCAATTAGGATTCTGGGACTGCTTGGGAACCTGGATCTGAAAAGTTATGCATTTTTGCAGAGCAAGCCCAACAATGCCATGTGATTGTCCTGTTGTCTCTGTCCATGGTCCTGAAACAACTACTGCAACTGGAAACTTATTTTTCTTTTTTTGCCATATTTTTGTGAATTTGTGACATGGCTACTACTACTACTATTACTACTGCTCCTGCTGCTGCTACTACTACTAATAATATATTAATGTAATAATTTAATTGTCCCTTCAGTGAGGTATTATGCGTGAATATTTTATAACAAAACATGAGGCCTTCAAATTATCTAAAAGCATATATTTACAGCTTTTTATTATACATAATGTCTTCTGAATAACATTTTTTAGCAACATACATTTTAACAAATTCTGTTTGAGTTGATTTCATCCATAGATTCATAGATGTGTAGATTTCCATATTTATTCCATGATAATATGGGTTTTAATAAATCAGTCTTGTCAACATTAGAGACACATTGTCTGTATTTGTTGTTGTTTGTATTTGTGTGGGGTATAATGATTTAAGTTTTGTATGCACATTTAGTTGTGTGATTGAAGTAAGTATTCATTAATATGTATTTCCTTAGTTGTATTAGTTTTCCTACTATACATCTAGTCTACTTTTATGGGATTAATTTTTTTTTTGTCTGTGGTCTCTCACCAAATTGCTAAACATGCTTAATAATAATAATAGTTTGTCAGTGGTGCATAAAGGTGTATTTCTATCATCAGGTTGTTATCTGGAAGTGACGTTGGACATACCATCAATAAAATAATATAATAGTCCTATTGAATCAGTTACATCTTTGAATATTATACAACTTTTATATTTTACATGGGGCACACAATTCGTGAAAGTGGGTGAAGATGAGGAGGGTTTAGACTTTGTCGAGAATATTGCATGAGGTGTCAAGAGTGAACAGAGACTCATGGTGCCGCTGTAGGCCAGCACAAAAGTAGCACAGACATCTCCTCCCACTCTCACTGCATTAAAGTCGCTTGTCATTTCTAAGAAGAATCCCTCCATTCCACGACTGTTTTCCATCCTGTTGTTGTTTATAGTTGTAAAATGTTGGATTATTGACTCTGTTTTGGAATTATATATATATGTATATTTTGTCTGTGCAGTCATTTGTACAAGCAGTGGATGTGTTTTTCGGAGGATGGGAGACAAAGGATTTTCAGCGCTTCGTCCGGTTCTCTGCTTCGCTTCCTTTATTGTAACGCTGCACCTCGTTAATGGAGATCTGAGTTATTCTATTCCAGAAGAGATGAAACGCGACTCTGTTATTGGAAATATAGCCAAGGATCTCGGCCTGGATCTGAGGACCTTATCTTCACGAAAGGTCCGTGTTGATTTTGAGGGAACTCGTAAGCGCTACTGTGATATCAATCTGAGTACCGGAGATTTGATCATATCAGAAATAATTGACAGAGAAAGCCTTTGTGGAAAGAAACCGTCGTGTGTTTTAAAAGTGGATCTGGTGTTAGAGAATCCTCTGGAGCTTCATCGACTAAGTCTTCATATTCAAGATGTAAACGACAACTCTCCGAAATTCAAAAAGAATCTCATTGAAATGGAAATAAGAGAGTCTTCAGAAAAGGGCAACCGCTTCTCCATCGAGGAGGCCCATGACGCAGATATAGGTCAAAATGCTATTCAAAGGTACAACCTTCAAAAGAATGACAACTTTATTCTCGCTGTTGACAGCAACAAGGTTGAGCTGGTACTGGAGAATAAACTCGATCGAGAGAAACAAAGAGAGTTGAATTTGCTTCTCACAGCATTAGATGGTGGCTCTCCTCAGAGATCAGGTACTGTAGTCATACACGTCACTGTGTTAGATGCTAATGATAACGCCCCAGTGTTCAACCAGGCCGTTTATAAAACCAGTCTGCCTGAAAACTCTCCTCCAGATACCATAGTGATAAGTGTTAGTGCTACAGACGCAGATGAAGGAGTGAATGGAGATGTGACATATGACTTCGGCCATGTATCTGATGAAGATATAAATGTATTTTCTATTGATCCTAAAACCGGAGAAATTAGAGTAACTGGTGTGATTGACTTTGAAGAAAGGAGTTCTTTTGAAATGAGAGTGCAAGCTAAAGATGGTTTAGGGCTAACCTCTTACGCCAAAGTTATAATAGATGTTACTGATATAAATGACAACGCCCCGGTGATATATTTAAAATCACTCTCTGACCCCATACCTGAGAACGTGTCACCTGGTACAGAGGTGGGCATCATTAACGTGCAGGACAGAGACTCTGAGAGTAACGGACAGGTCCGCTGCTCCATTCAGCAAAACGCCCCCTTTAAGTTGGTTCCTTCTATTAAAAACTATTATTCTCTGGTGACCACAGGACAACTGGACCGTGAACTAGTGTCTGATTACAACATTACAATCACCGCCACTGACGAGGGCTCTCCACCTCTGTCCTCCTCTAAAACTGTTCAGTTATCTGTAGCAGACATCAACGACAACCCACCGGTGTTTGAGGAACAGTCCTACAGCGCATATGTGACTGAAAATAACAAACCTGGCTCCACTTTATGTTCCGTTAGTGCTCGAGACCCCGACTGGAGACAAAACGGTACAGTGATTTATTCTCTGTTACCCGGTGAGGTGAACGGTGCCCCGGTGTCCTCCTATCTGTCTGTTAACGGAGACACGGGGGTGATCCACGCTGTGAGGTCGTTTGATTATGAACAGTTCAGGAGTTTTAAAGTCCACGTGATGGCCAGAGACAACGGTTCTCCTCCGCTCAGCAGCAACGTGACCGTCAGTGTCTTCATATCGGATGTGAACGACAACTCTCCTCAGATACTGTACCCCGCCCCGGAGGGCAACTCCTTCATGACCGAGCTGGTCCCCAAAGCTGCACACGGAGGCTCTCTGGTGTCCAAAGTGATAGCGGTGGACGCGGACTCCGGACAGAACGCCTGGCTGTCCTATCATATAGTCAAATCCACCGATCCGGGACTTTTCACTATCGGGGTCCACAGCGGAGAGATCAGGACCCAGCGGGACATTTCTGAATCTGACAGCATGAAACAGAACCTTATTGTGGCAGTGAAAGATAACGGACAGCCCTCTCTCTCTGCCACCTGCTCCATGTATTTACTTATTTCTGATAACTTGGCTGAGGTGCCAGAACTGAAGGACATTTCTTATGATGAGAAGAACTCCAAGCTGACCTCATACCTGATCATCGCGCTGGTGTCTGTGTCCACCTTTTTCCTGACCTTCATTATCATCATCCTGGGTGTGAGGTTTTGTCGCAGGAGAAAGCCCAGACTGTTGTTTGATGGAGCAGTCGCCATCCCCAGCGCTTATCTCCCTCCTAATTACGCAGATGTTGACGGCACAGGAACTTTACGCAGCACTTACAATTATGACGCCTACCTGACAACGGGTTCTAGGACCAGCGACTTTAAGTTCGTGTCATCTTACAATGACAACACACTGCCTGCCGACCAGACTCTGAGGAAAAGTCCGACTGACTTTGCTGATCCCTTCGAAGATTTAGAGGAGTCTCTAGAGGTAGGAACCGTTTGAACTACTTCACATGTAATAATCATTTCTCGGTTTGTTTAATGAGTCTCTCTGATGTCTGTCTGGTTGCAGCTTGTGTTTATGTCTCTGTGATGTTCAAGTGATTGAGTTGTTGTTGAAGCAACCGTTTGCTTATCGTAATGGAGGGAAACCTTTTAGCTTTGGGCTATGCTTACTTCTTAAATTATGTCAGCAAATGCTTGAATATCTTCGCTTTTTCTCCTTCAAAACCACGGGGCTCCTCAGACACTTTCCCCCTTACTTATCAACACATAGGCTTAGTTGTCACAGCTCTTTTGATGGATTCTTTTGAAGTCAGGTCTCAAAAAGATCCACTTTCACTGATTCCTGACAAAATAGTTATTCTGAGAGTCATATTTATTTCGTTGGTATTTTGAACTTTCTATTTCGGTTTCATCTTAAGGACTAATATCCTGTTTTATTAAAATCTTTAGCAAACAAGGAGTTCCTTCAACCTGATCTTTGCCAACAAAGAAGCTGCAGCTCATGGGGAAATGTATAATTACAAAAACATTTTAACCAGCAAACTGTATTCATATTGAAGCTCTCACAGAAGTACTCCTTTTTAAAATCAAGCTTTTTAGCGCAGTTTCTCGTGAGTCTTAATTTTACACTTTTCGCTGTTAAACATTATTTTCAATGCTCAGCATGTGACTGATCATCACTTATCATCAAGTGATGGAAGCAGTTCTGATTTCTGAGCCAGCCTCGGAGTTAGGTGGCTACTGGTTTAGGTCTAAGAGTAAGTCAATGTTTTCTTTCGTGAAACTGTCTTTAATTCACAATAATACAGTCTAAGAACACTGGCCAGGAGACCAACACAGCGTTAAATACCTCTGTACTATCAGCTCTGGCAAATCTCAAGGCATCTGTCCATGGTGCTGAACCACTCCTCAGGCTCTCAGGCAGAACCGCAACTTGAGATGTGTTTTTTCTCCTTACCCAACCTGTCAGCATTTTTTAAATTATAATAATGGTGATAATTATGATTTCATTCATATGTAATCAAAACTTCAAAGTGATCAATCGACCGCGTGTGTTTTAAGAAAATAAAATAATTTCTGCACATACACAATTCATATAGACCTGAGTAAATATTATCTTTGTGTTCTAAGACTTTGTGAATAATATTTTATTAGCCTACATGTTTGTGTGAAAGAAAAAGAGACTCATGGTGTCGCTGTTGTCTGACAGAAAACAGACCCTCACCACTCCTCCCACTGCTGCTGCATAGATATCAGTTGCAGATTTTCCACAGAAAACGGTTACATTTCCGACCATGTTTTAAATTGCACATTGCTGTGAAGTGTTGGATTATTGAGTATTTTGGACAGCTTTTACTTTTTCGCACTGGAAAGTATGTTGTTCAAGCTGATGACGCCTTTTTATGTCAGGATGGGAGACAAAGGATTTTCAGCGCTTCGTCCGGTTCTCTGCTTCGCTTCCTTTATTGTAACGCTGCACCTCGTTAATGGAGATCTGAGTTATTCTATTCCAGAAGAGATGAAACGCGACTCTGTTATTGGAAATATAGCCAAGGATCTCGGTCTGGATCTGAGGACCTTATCTTCACGAAAGGTCCGTGTTGATTTTGAGGGAACTCGTAAGCGGTACTGTGATATCAATCTGAGTACCGGAGATTTGATCACATCAGAAAGAATTGACAGAGAAAGCCTTTGTGGAAAGAAACCGTCGTGTGTTGTGAAAGTAGATGTGGTGTTGGAAAATCCTCTGGAGCTTCATCGACTAAGTCTTCATATTCAAGATGTAAATGACAACTCTCCGCAGTTCAACGACGATTTGATTGAAATGGAAATAGGCGAGTCTTCTGAAAAGGGCAACCGCTTCTCTATCGAGGAGGCCCATGACGCAGATATAGGTCAAAATGCTGTTCAAAGGTACAACCTTCAAAAGAATGACAACTTTATTCTCGCTGTTGACAGCAACAAGGTTGAGCTCGTATTGGAGAATAAGCTCGATCGAGAGAAACAAAGAGAGTTGAATTTGCTTCTCACAGCATTAGATGGTGGCTCTCCTCAGAGATCAGGTACTGTAGTCATACACGTCACTGTGTTAGATGCTAATGATAACGCCCCAGTGTTCAACCAGGCCGTTTATAAAACCAGTCTGCCTGAAAACTCTCCTCCAGATACCATAGTGATTAATGTTAGTGCTACAGACGCAGATGAAGGAGTGAATGGAGATGTGACATA